TTTTAATAAATTAAGTGATAGAAATAGAAAAAAAACATTATGTGGCTTTTCAAATTACGTAATGTTAAGAAATCTAGTATGAACTTATAATAGAACAATTTACTTTCATCTCAATTACATGATTTTGTTATGTAACTTTGTAATGTGATTTTTTTCAATAGGAATATATTTTAGTTACGAATTTATTAATTCATTTAATGAAAAGAAAAAACGCAGGCAATAAAACATTTAGCCAATATCTGTGACCTTATTTAAATAATTACGTCTCTGATTTAAATAACAGATTTTACTTATTTTAGTACAGAAAACTTCCTTCTGTCTCCTTTTTCACACCTTCTTAGTTTCTATCATTGAGTTTATTTCTACTTTTCTGCTTTTTACACATGTGTCCGCCTATTTGCATTTTTTCTTCATATATCATTCTTAACAAAATATTTAAATGAAAGACTATATATGGCATTTATGACTATAAATTTGAAATGATACTTTATATCTCAACCTTTTCAAAATGAAGCGACTTATTTTAAATCGAATTTAACTAAAATTATCTTTATTTTCAGTGAGTTTAAATTCAATCAAATAATCCCTGACTTTTAATTATATATAAATAATTATAAAAGTCAATTATAGGTGTATACCACTAGCACACAGAAAATTTTGTGTACAACTACACTAGTTTAACTTTTAATCTTGTCTTATAATTTATCTAACATATTTATATTTTTTAAGAAAGATGCTATATATACAGGGTGATTCACTTGACCGGAAAATCTTGAATATTTCATTTATTTTTGATGATACGAAAAAATGTTAAAAGTAAAATGGTTTCGAAGACGTATTTTGGCCACTTTTTTGTTTATTTTTTCTAGGTAGAAACGCTATATAAGTATGAAGATTCTCTACTCTTTTTTTTAGATATAATTGTAATTATTTTATATAATATGGTTCCTCTGATTATTATATATGTAAAATATTAAAGCAAAAATATTGAAAAGTTAATAGGTTTTTGAGTTTTTTTATGCATTATTCTGGCACACACATTGACATTACATTATTCCATTAATTTTTTAATAATCATATCTTAATATTTTCATGCACAAATAAGCTAAATCAATTGGAAACGCACAGTTGTTAAAAAAATTATATAGTTGTATTAATTTGTAAAACGTATAATTTTTAAGTAATTAATTTAGTCTATTATTCTATGCATAAAAATATTGAAGTACGATTATTAAAGTTTATAGTTTACATCTTTACGAGATATTTAATATATTAATATGTGCAAGAATAAAGTATACCTAAAATATTTCAAAACTTATTAATTTAAAAAAAAAAACATTAATCTCTACCTCAATACTTTTACATATAACATAATGAGAGGAATCATATTGTTGTGTGTGTGAAAAAAAATCATATAATTACATCTAAAAAAGTGGAGATGGATCTTCATATGTATATAGCACTTCCACCTAGAAAAAAACAACGTGATCAAAATATGTCTCCCTCGAAACTATTCCAGTTTTTTATCTGAAACATTTTTTCGTATCATAAAAAATAAGTGAAAGGTTTTCAAATTAAGTAACCCACCTTCTGTATAAAATACACTAAAATAAGTTTTAAGAGATATATTATGATTAAAATAAAATCGAATACTATTTATATCTCATTAAACTTTAAAAAATAGAATGTTTGTATCGTAGGATTAAATATTTATTTGAAAATAATGTGAAAATTCAAAATAGTTTTAAAAATACGAATTTGCTCTTAAATTTATGCTTTTTTTCTTTATACCGTTTGAAAATTTACTAAATAAATCTTTATTAGATTTTAAAGCATTAAATAAAAGTAAAGAAAGTACATTAAAGAAGAAAAGTCTAAAGTGCACGGCTGTTTCTTTCAACAAGTTATTATAATAATAGCTAGGGTAAATTATATATATGACAGAATTAACTTTCTTTTGTTATAAAGATGTAATAAATGTAAGACGTAAGTAACATACGGCTCGTACGTAAATCAAATACTTTTATAATATAATTTTCATTTTTCCCAAATAAGGAAAATAAGTGTAAATGTTTTTTGTTATTTGTATGCAAAAAAAAAATTTTCGAAATTAGAGATGTTATTTCTAAAATATATTAATTTATGGATATACTGAAAACACTTTGTTTGTCATATTTATAATATAAATAACAAAATCTTTTTTAGTCATTTATCGAGTATTTTTCTATAAAATAAGTAAATATAGCAATAATGTTATATTTTATACATATCTTTTTTCGATGTACTTTGTTATTAAAATTCATTGCTGCTGCAAACTTTTGTATAAAATATTTTTGTTTTCAATTCGATATTGCTATGTTCTTAGGTTTAATATATATCGATATCGCTGATACTATATTTAAATAATTATAAGCACTTAATATCTGATAAATGATACATATTATCTTGTTTCTCATTAGCAGTTATTGATGACTAGTTACCATTAGCTCTCTTCCTGTTCAATATTAGTACCAACCTTAAGCATTACGCGATAATGCTATGTTTATTATTAAATATTTCATGTTTATAAATCAACAAATCCTCATTATATTCGACAGATCTTTAAAATGAAATAATTTATCTTTGTCAACATATTAATTTTTTGTATTAATTCTATTTTTAATTTAATAATAATGCTATTCAAAAGAGCAACGTGCATGCGTGCTGCTTTATTGATACGAAAAACTATTCATCACTCAATAATTCAGTGGATAAAGCATAATTCGTTATCCATAAATTATTCATACATATTTGTGGTACACAAGATAACAAAATTTATTTGTTCAAGCTACATCTGTATTTTACTGTGTATTAATAATATTAGTATTTATCCGAAAAATACTTGCTAATATTATTAATATAAAATACAAACTTTATACAAACATACAGGAACTTGGATGTAAATATATAGAGTGTCCCAGAATTTTAATGTTAAAATTTCAAGAGCGTATAGAGAATCTCGATAAACTAAGAAAAATATCCTATAGAGATATGCTCATTTTTGCTTCATTTTGGAAAAAATCGGAAAAAAGGTAAAATGTAGTTCTTATTTTTGAATTTTTTTTATTACTTATTCACTTGTTTGATGTAGATATTGTTCAAAATGTTGGCCTCTTGCAGTAATGCAAACATTGCATCTAGTACGAACAACTCATGTAGAAGCTAAATACTGATCTGGTGATATTTGGTGCAATGCAGGCTCGATTCAATTTCTCAATTATTCCTTTAAATTTATTGACGACGAATAAACTTCCTTCAGGCCCCTCACACAAAAAAATTCAATGGTGTCAGATCAGGTGATCGAAGTGACCAAGGTACTACTCGCAGAAATCATACATAAAAACCATGTCAGGATATTTAACGTTAGAATATGTAAGCGGCATATTGTGACAGAAGTAAATCACTTGATAATTTCTAATGAGTAACTAACGAATTTATAGGAGAAAGGCAGAGATGTAAACAAACAAAAAAAAGTTTCACCTGAAAATGGAATTATTATTGTTTTCGTGTACGGTTTTGCCGACGATAATACTTCAAAGGCAGTGCAAGAACGAAGCAACTACGTTTTGTCTTTTTTGCGAATTTTCTTCAAAACAAAGCAAAAACGAACATCTCTCTACAAGACTTTCTTTTTTAGTTTATCGATCTCCTACACACTCCCGAAGTTTTGACATTCAAATTCGGACACCCTGTATACAAAAGATATAGCATAAAGAATCGAACTAAACGTAAAATATTAGTTTTTGAAAGAAAAATAAAACTAATATAGATATGCCAAGAATTGTTAAAATATTGTTTTTTATTTTAGTATATCTGGAGACACGGTAGTGTCTCGGCGCTAAGCCAGGCGCAGCAATTAATTCTACATGAAAATAGATAAATGGAATTTTTTAAAACTTTCAGATAATGTTAAGAAGATGAGAATATTCAGCGTTTGTGAGAACTTGATAAATATGATAGATACAAGTTATTCCTGTTTTTACATGATACAAAAATTTTATGACTTTTCGTTCTTTTTCTTAAAGGTTATTAAATACAAAACGCGCGCGGTATTATAATTTCATTCTTAATAGGAAAAAACGTGCTTGCGCATCATGATAATATTACTATGAAAATATCAAATATTTTTTAATTCTAATACAATATTGGAAGATACCTACTGCAATGCGCTATAATTACAATTGCGAATTCAAAATAATTGTTAATAGCGTAAACGAAGGAAATCGGCTATTCTCATTTGTATACCTTCACTTACAGAAAACTGTAAAAAAAAAAAAAAGAGTAAGAGAAAAGGAAAAAGGGAGAAAGTAAAGAGACAAAGAAATGAAAAAAAAAAAACAATTTAGTCTATTATTCGTAATTCATGAACCGTATATCGACTGATACAGGTTTTACGTAGTTGACTACAAATCAAACAATCTTCTATAATAATCCGCAATCATGTAAAGCAATATACCACAATACTCCACCATCAATTGTTTATACAATATTGAAAATTTTAAAATTTGTCGTTTTATCTAAATACGTTAAATTTATAGCTTGAACAATATGTTGTAACTACTGTATGTAGACAAGTTTCTGTTCTCGAACAGAATAAGGCATGCACGGCGACATTAACTTATGGCTGCATTAAAGGTTATATGGTACACGAAAACACTTAAGTAATATAACATAAGCAGTAAGCAAATGGGCCAATCACAGTAGAGACCGTTAAACGTAATTTGTAACAAATCCAAATATTGATTTGTTTACTGCTTTTGTTTTACTTAAATTCTTTGTGTGCTATAACACACTTTAAGCGCCGTAAATTCTACCGCACGATAAACTATACTATACAATATTAGTTAGAATGGATTGTTTCACAATATGAAACTTTATATTATATATTAATCTATCCTAATGTATTTTATATAATATATTAATCTATCCTAATAAATATGAATCAATGGATCTTTTTCTTCTTAGTTGCATTCCTTGAAAAGCATTCTTATTCTCTCACTTTATAATACATAAATTATGATCGAACTTTATTAAGCATTTTATTCTTCGCAAGTTGAAATTACATAATTGAATACGAGACATAGTTTCCTGACAATTGCTCTCGAACTCGACTTCGCATGTGACTTCGGCAATTATTATATGTAATACTAATTATCGATTCTAACAAACATGGCGAGTTCGTGAGTTTTTCAAAATTTTCCATGCTTTGACTCCACTGTCACGGAGGAGACTTGGGCCCGCTACATTTATCTGCTATTACTTGCTGTTGTTGCTGTTGCGAAGATGATTGCTGCTGTTGTACTTGCTGCTGCTGCTGCTGTTGTTGCGAATGCTGCTGCTGCTGCTGTTGGTGATGATGTGATGTAGAATCTGTGTTTACTCCGAGTTCACTGCTTATTAAATTACCACTGCCATTTTTATCCACCACGCCACTCGTATGCACAGGATGAAAATATCGTTCTGAAACAATATATTTTTAATTAATATAAGACAAAAGACCAAAAAGGAGCAAAAACAAAGGATGTTATTAAAATATTAAGTGAATTTATAATATGTTAATGAAGGGGAAATCCCAATTTAGAACTTTAAAAAAATAAAAAATTTTTTTTTTTTCATATTCGTATAGTACAACATTTAAAAGATATGACTGTAGGGATAATAGAGATATGTAGTTTGAGATAAGTTGAGAAAAAAAGGGAAATAGGGAAGAATATAGATGAAGATAATTAGTCCGAGTCTTGCTTCATGTTATAGGAGACGTTTAGTTTGCGTTTAGCGTGCGAATTTTAGAGTTGGGTCTCTGTAGTAGGAGTGCCAGTTTCACAGACGTCTTATCAATTTGATTTTTGCTAGCGTCGCCAAAGTCAGGTCAAGGTGACATTAATTTTTTTTAATAAAAACCCGTATTTTTTTTTCATATTCTTAATAATTTATTTTAAGGTCTTTTTAAAACACAAAATATTTTTTCATTAAATACTTTTTAAATTTTAAATTATAAAGCTTAAGTGTGTTGTCACAGCAGCGCACCACCGACATTTAGCATTATCTAATGTTTAATTGACGATTAAAATTGTGTGCAATACAGCTTATGTGCAATCGTCGTATGTGTAAAAAAAATTTGTTACTTTTACAAAAAAATATAACTGCGTTAGTATTACAACTGCTAAAAAAAAAATAATGTCACCTTGTTATCAGTAAGTTACCAAAATAAGTAACTTGTAACTGTTACTTCGTTACAAGTAACGAGTTACTCTTCCAATCTCTGTTTACAAATATCAGTTACAAGCAGATAATTATTATTTAGCTTATTATATTTTAATATATTCTTTTTTAAGCAAGAAGAAAAAATAAAAATCGCTATTCAGTGCTGTCAAAGACACAAAATTTAGCTTCACCTTCCTCTATAGTGGCTGATGGCTCACTGCTTGTTCCAGCAATGATCGGTGCAATCATGTTATAATCATCTTCCAAATTGATGAATGGCGCAGTATTCCAACGTGGTGGGATATTAGTGACCGATCTTTGAGTTGCTACCGGTCTCGTTACTGAGACAGGAGATGAAAATAGAGATAAGTTAGTCGGCGAAATTACTCCAGACATCGAGCTAATGGTCGGATATGTGAAGATTTGCTGTAAAAAAAGAAATTACAATGACATAAATGCGATAGAATGCAAAGATTTTACTCTTTTGTATTACTCCATGATTGTTAGTAAATGACTAAATATCATAGAGTAATATTAAGGCATTAAGAAATATTAGTGGTAATTTGAATATTTTCGACAACACTGACATTAGTGTCATCCCTTGCAAAACCCTCAAAATTAAATCATACTTCTAATATTATCTTGTATACAAAAGTTTGCTTCAATCGGTTCGTGTCGCGACTCTTATTAGAAGGTCTCTAATCATCAGCGAAAGCTCCATTTTTTGCATTTTGCACAGATAAGTAAAGTTGTGAACGCTTTCTAGCAAGAACACAGAATGTGTTCCGATATAGATTGCCAATAATGGCAATACTGAAAAATCATTCCGTTATTAATACACAGCACACTGCAACAGCATCTAATAACTTCAATGACATTATAAATGGTAGCCGCATTATCACTGCGACTATCATAGCTTTCGAGGTGAGGCAGTTACATTAAAAATATAACATCAAACATGGCATCAATATTAAAACTCTAAATGGCATACAGAAAATAAACTCTAAATTCCATGTTTAAACACTGACGTACAATAACCCGTATAGTTTTTATGTGTGGTCGATAAATTATTGAATTAATTAATTCTAATCACTTGTCTTCCTCAGACAAACTATCACTGCTTTCGTTCAATATTTCTATTGTAATTATACAAATCTGTAACTTAATCTGTTTTATTTACTGCATGCATCGTCATGTTAATTATATTGTGAAATCTGTTTCGATACAGATATTATAGCAGAAATAAAACGTAATTTTTTCCAAACTTTTTTGTTCATAACTTTTTAAAGGACAGCGATCGCCACCTCAAATCTGGTGGAGGTTGCTCAGGATCATAACTTTGAAGATATATGTTTCAAAGTTATGATCCTGAGCAACCTCCACCAGATTTGAGGTGGCGATCGCTGTCCTTTAAAAGTCAAGGTCAAGGTTATCGGACTTGGCTCCCCTTTTGTATATATTTACCAATATATAACATAGATTAAATACAATTTGTATAAAAAATAGGCCAATTTAAAAACGAGTAAGATAAAAAGGTATGTGAAAATACATCTTCTAGTCATACATTAAAAAATATATGTGTGTGTATATATATATATATATATATAAAATTCCGATTCTCACATTTAAAAAATAAAAATTTCGGACGCGTTTCGCGCTTTACAGACCTTCATCAGCGGAAAAAGCAAGCATTAATTATCTCTCATGCTTCTGTAAGTTTATATTTTTGTGTTTATGTTCCTGGTTTGCCTTATAGTAATTTTGTTACACTCAAATGTATACCAGCTGTTACAGCAATAATTACTTTTTATTGTCCTCTTAAAATGGACTTATATACATGTAACTATGTTTTTTCAACCTCTCCATACCATTATTAGTATAAACATATCTAGTATTTAATATCAAAATAACACATGCTTGCTATCTGAGAAAATGTAAAAGAAGCTAACCTGACCAGGTTGCGAATGAAAATGAGCAAATGTGTATTCCCTGCTGGTGGTATGCGGTGTAACGAGAATTCTGGTGGGGCTTTTCCGTCCGACGGATTCGACAGAATTCTGGCAAGCGGAACCGACGAGTCCAATTGCCGCTGCGGTAGTCATCTGTTCCTGATTAGGCCCTAACTCGCCTGGATCCGTAGGTGACGATGTTGGTGGCGAGTTAGCAGTTGTCGCTGCTAACTCACCTGTCGATCTTATTATTGCCACTGGTCTGGCCATAGGAGCAGGTGGCGGCGGTGGTAACATCGAACTCGGATAATATTGTGGGAACTTTTGTATACCAGTGCGTGATCCAGTTAGTTGCGTCTGAAAGTAATAGATTATATCATATGTATATATCATCTTATTTCTTTTACCATTACTCTTAAGGGGATCCAAAAGACGATTAGTCATATTGGAAACAATACTTACACACAGACGATTACGCGTTATTGACACATCACAACATCAATATCTTACTCAAATACGCCAAACATATACACATAAAGGAGAATGTTAAAAAGAGATCAATTTTTGTGTTCACAAAGGTATAAGTAAAAAGAATTCTTTTTTTAATTTTGAATCGTTTTAAAAATACAGAGGATGCGGATAGACTTTATATAGACACCTTGTATTACCTGAGATAATTGCTGGGTATTCTCAGCTTCTTGGCACACAAAGGTCACAAAATCCGAAAGAGTGTCGTGTCCGTTCTCAGGATACTTTACTACCCCTGCAGACCCGGGGTGTTCCGGTTGATAGTAAGCGATTCCAGGCATGCTTTGACCGGAGCCACCAGTTAATCCTTCGTGAGGCGAATGCAATCCTGAAACACATTTTTCAATAATTATCTAGTCTGATTAATGATATCAGTGTTACGATAAACCACCCCCTTAACTTAACTCGTATTCTTTCCTTACCTTCGCGAAAATATTATTTTATTTAACTGTATACGTATATAAAATGGTATTTTCTTTTTAATTACAAGACGTTAACTTTATCTATTCTCAAAAAAAAAAAACAAAACTATTTCGTTCAGTTCATTTAACATAAATTTATTTTATCTAGGATATATTATCGCGTTTATTGTTCTTTTTTTAAAATATTATTTTCATTGATGTTATTTAATATGCAATTAAGCAATTGGTAATAATGTTTGTTATACAAATTATATATGTTCAAATAATTAATTATACTTAATATTAATCTTTTTATCATAATAAATTGTATTCAATTATCATATCTATTTACGAAATCGTATATAAGCTATACATACATAGAGACAGAGAAAATCGTAGATAACGTTGAGTTAACAAAAGTAAAATAGTAAATTAAATTTTTTCGTGTTTTTTTCTTTTAATGACTATAATCTTAGCCCAATTTCGTAATTAATACACGTTTAAATATACAAATGGGTAAATAGGTAGATAATTAGATAAAGGAGGTAAAGAAGTCGTTGTTACCATGAGTTTGTTAGGGGGGTGGTTTTAATGATGCATACAGATCAAATTCTGATGCTTGTCATCGATAAAAATTTTATTCCGAAACTGTCGCAGCTTCGTTCAATCACAAATTCTTCGAATAATTTTTCTAGAAAAAAATTTTTTTTACAGAGAATACATATTAATAATTTTTAACTCTAAACATTTTGAATATTATAAATTAGATTAAAGAAAATTTTCTCTATACAATTCTCACATAATATATTATTAAATTTTCTATAAATCTTAGAAATGCAGAGATTTAGTTGAAGAATTTATAGATAAAAGGAAGTACGATAATTCTGGAACACTGACATAAATATATATATATATATATATATATATATGACGTACATACATACACATATACATATGCATTGGATGATGCATTCCAAGCGTGAGACCGAATGGATGAGAAATATACGTTTATGAAGATAACATATTTAATATGATGTAAACAAAGTATATTGCATACACAATATTTATAATTATTAGTTATGGCTTTATTCCCGTCACGACGCTTTGTATCGAGACGCTCAGTACTGTAACATTTTATATAAAATAATACATACAAGTCTTGTTTAAGAAACTAAATATTAGGTCATCAATTAGATCTCTTAATCGCATTACAACAATCATGTGCTATTAATTTAGTATATACAATAAGAGATACGATTTTAATGCCATATTTCAATAATTCTTTTATATACATATACATTATACATATATACACACACATATGATGTAAGAATATAAAGCATTTCGTCCTATAAGCGCATATTATTTAATATTAAGTAATATTCTAGGCATATTCTTAGAATATTAAATGTGTGTAACGTTTTAATAATATTTCATTAAAATTATAGAGAATGTTAAATATTTCTAAAACATATTAATGGATGGTTATATGTCCACTTCTAACAATGTTATATAATATTAAATAATATTTAATATTATTGTAATATTGTATGAATATTAAAAAGTATTATAATAATATTTACTTTAATTTATAAAATTGTTATTCCAGTTCAGTTTAAAATTATGTTTAAAAATTCAAAATGATTTTGGCGCGCAGTTGTAGAACTGAATATGTACATAAAATCACACCGTTATTTAAAGACTAAGATACATAGACCGATAAGGCCATTTTGTTTCATTGTGAATTCAAATTGCACTTATATAAAAATAATATTAATATATATTTTATAATGTTTAAAGAATATCAAAGGCATAATATAATTATAATAAAGGCAAAACAGGATATTTACTTTTTCAAAATTCAATATTATTATTATATTTTGAAATATAATATATAATATTATTTGAATTTTTTAAATAATATTCATACAATATTCTAAGAATGCGCTAGAATTATTGCGCACGATGATGTTCGAATTCAGAGTAGCCAATCAAAGTTTAATCTCAAATGTAGCACGATCTACGCAACATAGTATCGTATAACATATATCTTAACTTAATCTGTCATTGATCATAGGACGAATCATATTGTTTTTGCATTTGCGACAACTCTCTGATTGATCAACTGTGCATCTCGGGAGTGAAATACTTTATATTCTTACATCATGTGCACACACATACATACATACACACAACATACACACACACACACACGCATATATATATATATATATACATATACATATATATATACACACATATGTGTGTGTATATGTGTGAGTGTGTGTATGTGTATGTGTAATTAGATATATATTGTGTAGATATAGAATAAATTTTTTGATGGCGTAAGTAATTTATTTTGTGCACGGCATAGATAATACGTGTACGCATAATACATAACAAAAGTATATACATGTACGTATGTAAGTGTGTGTAAATGGACACACCAGGTGCAACAATATAGTGCAAACATTAAACAAACAACGACTAAACAACATCAAGAACATCAAATTAACAACATCAACATCAATACAATAATTAGATTATATATAGATATATTAAACAACACCAACATCGCAACAATAATAATGTAGGTAGTATCATACGGAAAGGGCATAAACTTTTAATTAATCAATATGTTCCACGCGAATTTAATGTTGATCAATTAAGTAAGTAATACAGTTAATCCATACAGCATACGACATACTTAGAACATTGACCGTGTAACAGTGAGTAATATATGAAAATAATATTAAGTATGTGAAAAATAGAATTAAATTATGTAGTGCATGTTTAAAAAGCAGCCTTGGTCGCAGCTCGATCGATCGTTGTCATATTTATTTCAGACTCGGAAATGTAATTGACAATCATAAAATAGGAATTCACACTCGTGAATTCGTAACATTAAAGATAATAGAATGAAATTTGTATCCGTAAGGCAGTCTTCATTATCAAATATTAAAATAAAAGTAAAATATGTCTCTCGTAGAGATCTCTTAAACTTTACTTTTTGTCTTTTATTTGTACGTTTGTACAAAAATAAATAAATTAAAGGCATTATAAAATTTCAACGCGTATCGTTTTCTAGCCTTTATATTTCTTGTTAGATATCTACAATTAATATACTGTATAAATGTAATGTAAAATAAAACACCATTTTCAAAAAACACAAACATTTGAAGAAAATAAGAGATCTGATCATTAAATTTTGTTACCATGTCATTTACTTCTGTATCAATTAAAGTTCACGATATATATATGTATAATCATCTAATAATTAGATCCGATTAATTCTGAATTTTAATTCCATATATTAATTTAATTCTGAATATATTAACTAATATTGTATAATACCAATCCTGAAAATTATAAAAATTTTTTTTGATCGCCGAGCCGCGTCGAGACTGTATCGTCGAATAAGTATATTACGTGAATTGGTGAATATAACGGGGTTATTAAATAAAGACAAAAGAACAGATTAACAGACAAAACAAATCACCAGATAGACAGACGAACAAACAGCAACAACTAGCTTGCTAGATAGACCGTACTACGCATTTAGCAAGAAAGGCCATTCATCTGTTTATCCATCCGTTTTCAACCATTATAAGTGCCTTTGCTATATAATACAAATGATGCTTCTAAATGTGTTGAGAAAAAAATTTTAGCTAGAAGATGTGAAAACAGAATAATTATTTTTAATTTTAAGAAATAGCATATTTATTAACTCGAAGAAGGTGGCTGTTAACAGGCAGATGGATCAGACGGATAGGCTAAGAACTTCACAAAGAAACCTAAGTAGAACAAAAGCATTGAGAAACGGTTAGAAAAACATTTTTCCGTAATGTTGAGTAACGACTACAAGTATCCGTGTAAGAAACGTTCTTAAAACTTTTCACACATAGCAAGAATAGAGAAGGATCTTTTTAATAGCTGTGACAAATTTCCCAATCTGAATAGTCAGCAATTTTAACGATTAATATCTTGATTCGTAGAGCAGAGCAAATTTTTCTACCAGATTCTTTTATTTTATATGTATAAAAACGCGTGGAGGCCTAATTTTATGGATTTTTTAACTGTTGAGGGCCAAACTGCATAATTACCAAAAGGGCTTTATATTGTATATAATGATTTTAATTAATCGTTATTTTTAACGTTTCCTACATGGGCACTTGTAACCATCATAATATTACGGAAAAATATTTTTTAACCGTTTCTCAACGCTTTTGTTCTGCTTAGGAATTATTATATAGATATGTGTATGTGTGTATGTGTGTGTGTGTGTGTGTGTGGTGTGCGCGCGCGCGCGCATGCGTGCAAGTTGATGCTCCTAAAACAATTGACCAATATATGTCGAAAACTAAACCTGGTACACTTTTAACCTTGTATAGCTAATAATCGGTACAAGTTAAAATAAAAAACATAAATTGTAAGAGACATAAGTACCATCAAAGTTAGGAATTCTTTATTGAATAAAAAGAACAATCACCCATCCTATTTACCGATGCTTGATCTGTATGATCACGATCGTGTCGAAACTGATATTTCACTCTGTCAGTTGATAACATAATGTCATAATTATATCTGTCTAATTAAATCTCCAAAAAAAATCACAAGTTTATTTTATGTTGTATTTCTTTTGTATTTCTTACCTCGTGCTAATATTTCGAGAAAAATATCTACTATATAGATGATTTTCTCGGAAAATATCTCCTATTATAGTGTATAACTCAAAATGTCATTCTCGCTTTAAAATTTATTGTTTCGAATTATGGTAGTATTATGCGATACAGAGTTAAGAGTGTAGGGCAAAAATGTTTTAGATAATTGTATAACTTAAAAGAAGAAAAATAATGGTAAGATTAATTTAAAAAAAAAAAGAAAAACAATTTTTTATGATTGTATATGAAAGTCAGCCATTTTTCTA